AAACTAAAAGGCACGAAAATATAAAACCCTACAATAAAAAATGTGTAAAACGAAAAAATCAAACTTTGAAACAATTGAAAAAATTTAAAAATATGAATCTTATAATTCAATTTTTTAATAGTTAAAAAAATTAAAATACTTTAGTATATTATTTTGTAGTTTGTTTTTGTTGCCTATTGTTTATTTTTGTTTCCTTTTGTTGATAACTATGAAATTTTGGTTTTTTGTTGTTTCTTTATGTTTCCAATGCTTGGTTTATATTTATAAATACAAATATAGGATTTAATATAAATCTATATATGTTTTTTTACTTCAAACAAGTAGCAAAGATAAATAAAAACCTAAACAAACAACAAAAATCAAGATTAACAATAAAACAAGATTAAGTAACATGATGCAACAAAAAACAACATAATGTATTAAAGTTCACAACAATTATGTAATTCAATATAGTATTTCAATGTGTTACATATATCTGTTTAGTAATTTGGCTTTCCTCGGTGAAATCTATCACAGGGTCAAACATGATCAAGATAATGAAATGGAGGGGTGTCTCTGGGGGCTTCCTGCTGCTCTTGATTCTTCTCCAATTCTTGACTGTCAATGTTTCTTCTTTGATTCAGTGCAAACATCTCTTCTACCGATTTGTCTTTCATAATGTTGCATGATATGATTACCTGCAATAATTACATCATCAAGTGGTGAAAACGGAACGACAACAAAGCATGATTTAAAATAAGTTTTGTACACAATAAGCAGACAAAAAATTCTTTGTTGCGCAGCAGATACGTTAAGAGAAGCATTGCCAGAAAGTAGACTAATTCACTTTGGCAGTAGATGATGAGTTATCCTTGGTAAAATGGTTAACATCATAGAGACCACTTCCAGTGATGAATGACATAGAATGACACCATAAGGAACAAAACCCAACCAGCACACACATCCAGATTATATTGTGATAGAAATGCTCCCATGTGAGATTTCATGTAAGTGAACAATTGAAGAATAGACAACTGTTATGGAGAAGGCTTATGAAAAGAAAAAGAGCTTACCAATAACATACCAGTAGTTACAAGTCTTATGACTGATTCCAATTACATGATCCTGAAAAAGAAAATGATAAGGTGCACTATAGTTTTCAAACTGAAACAAAAGTTAAAAAACAAATGTGCACACATCTTATATGGCTGTATCACTTTTTGATAGGCCCGTTAGGATGCAATCCAATGGCATCTAATGTACCTATATCTATAACAAGTGAAACTTCCTATCTAGCTTTTATTCAAAAACAACATCAATGTCAACTGCCTATTCACTTGGCAAAATGGAAAATAGCAGATTATCTCAAGAGATAACAAGTATAATCACTAGGCACTTGCATTACATCACTGGATGGTGCCATACAAATTAAGAGAATTGTGATACAACTATAACAAGGTCTAATTTGTGGCACACAAAGGGTTCTCAATAGTTTGTTCCAAACAAGAAGCCATTTCACATGTCACATGGCAAAGTAAAATGAATTTAAAAATGCCATTAGTTTGAGCAATGGTACTGGGTAATGAGCATGAAAGGGGTAAGACTTCACGGTAAAGAAGTTTCAAGTGCATAGAGTTAAAAATGAGTAAAAATTATCAAGAACTTGATCTCAATTATGCCATAAACTTGAAGTTGCTGTGTGTTCAAGGATTGCCCTGCAAATTAATATCTGCCAATTACGTCAAAGGTGCTCCATAAACAAATACCCTACATCTGTGGAATACCATTCCCACCCTTCCTTATAAGGATAGGGATTGGCCTTGGACTCTTCCTTGTTTTCTACCTCTTCTAAATCAATTAGGACTCAAATATTGAAAATTACATTTAAAACTATATGGCTACCCAATTGACGTTCTCAAACAAGAGGGTCTCAAATAAGTATGATTTTTACCTCTAAAATAAAGATAGAGTCAAAAATTAATTTCAGTTTATGAAGTTAAACAAAATATGATAAAAGCGACTTCAATTCATTGATACCACTTTACCTCTCAATTGCATTCTAAGATCCAAAAATAATGCAAATACACAACAAATTATTCTGGTCTAAAGTAATCTAGAACATCATTTATTGTAGAGTTAATAACCATCGCAAAATGAAGACACTAGGTACATCCTAAGCAATTGAATTATTATTGAATAACTAATGCTGAAAATATCATAAAGCAGGAAGCAAAAAACTTGAGAAACCTAATACTACGTATGTAATGTTTTTTCAAATGAAGACGCAGATAAAAATTCAATCCAAAAAAGAAAAATATTTCAATTGAGGGAACCAAAATTGATTCTAAGCAATCTTAAATTCGTATATACAGGGCCATCTTGAGAGAGATTACCTACTATAGACAATTCAAATCAAGTAAATCAGCCCTCTGATTTAGTTTCGTATTATAGTTGCGGTAAGGGATCGATCGATCCTAGAAACTGTGTGGCGACCTGTGAACTCAAAGCTTCAATCGCAATATGTGGAAGCTGAGATGTGATCCCCCTTTCTCCATATTTTGCATCATTCGTTCCAGCGATAACGATTTGGAATATCAGTGTGGTGAGAACTCTATCCAACGTGATCTGGATGATAACTCTCGTGACCTCAGATACTAATTATAAGATGCAGAGCTTTATGGTGAGATTAGAAGAGATATTGAAGTAAGGGAGTCGGAGATGATGAAAGAGGTTTAAATGTACGTATGTATAGAGAAAGGTTGAAGGAGGAGGTCTAAAATTGAAATAAAAATTCCAAAATGAAAACAAAAAAGTGAAAAATGAAAAGAGAAAATGGTAAGGACATAAATGATATACGGCGTATAAAAGAGGTCTGTGCAGGTAATTTCCACAACAAGTAAACCCAGTGACTCAGTCCGCTCTGGCTAGTCCAGCACTCCATCTTCCGTAGATTAGGTCACACTCAAGCCACTTAAACCAGACGAAGCAAAACACATGTGCGACTGTGCGAGTTGTGATAAGCGTTGTGCCCGTTCTTCTGTTAAGCAATCGACAAGCCGGCTTCATCTCCTCGCGAAACATCGAACTTCATCTCCTCGTTGATCTGATTGTCAGACTTCATCTCCTGTTTTGGCCGGCTTCGTATTTTAGGTTGAGATTTTTCAGGACTGCCTTCTTATTTCGATTAGACCTTTAATTTTTCCTGTTTGTATGGAATGTTTTTCCTGTGTTCCTTTCTTTATTTCTTTATAGGCTACTCTGCATATAAGTTGATACATTCACTGGTCTGTAAGTAAGATTTATAGATTTATACATTCACTGCTCCACTATACGGTTTATCGATGATCTTTCTTTCTCGCCAGTTTTTGTACTTGGCTGCAATTTTAAAAAGAAGTAGGATACATACAACATACCTAGAATGGGCGGCTTTCATATGATATAAAATAGCGTCAATACATGTCTTGCTTCTTCACACATGTTTGACCAACTATTTTTAAACCCTAATTAATTTGTCTAAAGCCTTATTTACTCTGTATGGTTTCCATTCTTCGTCATGGGCAGTTTTAGTGATCCAGTCAACTTCAATCATTCTGTTTCAAAGCAGCAGGTTTATGGATTTTCAAACATCCTCTCTCTAATTTACACCATTTCTCTAGTTGTTTAATTATATGTACAAATGTGCAGCCTGCAGCCATACAAGAATGCATAATTCAAGCTTAGTCTTCGAAACTTTTGGAATTACAACCATTGTTTAAGGATCGCTAATTAGAAAAACCGTCAAATTTTTAGTTTTTGTATAATTGTTTTATTGTTAAGTGGATTGTGCTGAGCTATTGAACGTTTGAGACTTGAATTTAATATGTTCTCTTTGATATTTTAAGTATTTGTATTTGATAGAGTATATCTAGAGAGAAGTGAGAGCTAGAGAGAGAAGTGCAGTAATATGCTTCAATAGAATGATTTCGTAACCCCTATAACTACTCCCAAAGGGAGTATTTATAGAGAAAATTAGGGTTGGGCTCCCAAGCCTTGGGCTTGGGAGACCCATTTACAACTGGACCGCTACTGGGCCGGATACAAAGCCACTAATGGGCTGTACAAATGAGTAAGTATAAAATCTGATTCTAGGAGGTCTTCTTGGCCGACGAGGGCGCGGCCGACGAGGGCACGGCCGACGCGGGCACCCGGGTTCCTTGGGCTCAGGACCATAATCCGAGTTGGCCCCTTTTCGGCCGACGGGGGCATCCCGGCCGACGAGGGCGCCACTCTGTTGTCTTGAGCTTTCTGTTCTTCCGAGTATGTGGGTCCGGGGGCTCAGACCCATATACTCCATCAGTATTTGGTAATGATTTTGGTATTCGGTATAATAATATATACAAGATGTTGTATACAACTTTTGGAATATTGGAATTGGTATATCGAATGTCTGGGGTGTTGATATTTATTCTGAAATGTGCATGCAATTGGGTATACCAAATTTAATCACGGTATACCAAAATTTCGATATAAACCGGTATGCGTTTACACCTTACCGGAAATTTGGTATACCGAAATTTGGTATACCAATAATTTTGGTACGGTAATGATATGACATTTACATATACCGACGTTTGGGTACGGTATGCGATATGGCGTAGAAATTTTGGTATGTCATTCTGAACCAGCCTTAATTGCTATTACATGTAGTGAACTCTATGCTTGAAATTCCGATCGCCATGTAAGATCTTTTGATCGTAAATTTAAATAACATGCCAGTAGAAACATTTACGCGTTATTATAACTTATGATATTGATTTGTTCAATTTTTTAAAGAGTTAATTAAGATATCAAATTGAAATAATATCAATAACTAAACTTCCGTTTATGCATTTTACTCAAGTTTGTACATATGTACAAGTTATAAGCAGTACTTTTGATTGATGGTTCTTATTTGGTACTCTAATATAAAAATTTTACTTTTTCCAAAGAGATAAACAGAAAATATTTTTTTACTTCTCCTCTCCTCTGTCATAAAGCATTTCTCCATTTTTACTTCACTAGGGTTTTCTTGATCCTCTGTAACACAGCGGCGTTGAAATGTCACTCTCCCGGTATCTTTCCCGAAAACCCCTTACCACCCCAATATTGGAGATCCACCATCTCCGATCATTTTCCACCACTGCCGCTCACCCGACGGCGTTCCATAAGAACCAACACCCACAGAACCACAGCTTCCTGCCGCCAAACGAGTACCTGAACTCGTGGAAGCCCCCGAAGGATCCCAAGGAGGCAGAATCCAAGCTCGCCCTTCTTCGCCGCGACTATGCCAAGAAGGTCAAGGAAGTTCGTAAAGAGTACATCAAGTAGGTGGAGGTCATGCGGCTCGAAAAGCTGAGAAAAGCTGAGGCCAAGAAGGAAGCTCTACGGATCGCCAATGAGGAGCGGAAGGTTGCTAAAGCGGCTGAGAAGAAGGTGAAGGCTGAAGAGAGAGCGATTTTTGAAGAACAATTCCGCCAAATCCTCGTAAGTGAATTTACTGCCATAGATTTGCTGAATATGAACTACCCAATCATAGTGGGAGTAAAATTCTTACAAATTGTTGTAGAATTTGATTTTCTGATTCCCAGTAGAAGGGAAAACCTATACATTGTTACTACACGAGTGTGGTATCTTAGTTTATAATAACTCAACTCAAAGGTGTACAAAGTGGTAAGAAACAATACAGGAAGGGCAATCTTAGGAGGTAAAGAGGAGCAAGCCTCCTTGAAGCATTTGAAGACTTCAATTAGTCCTATATGGTGTTGTATGCCCAAGAATTTGTGTGTAAAAATGCTCGAATTGATAGTACAATAAATCTCCATTCATGTCTAAGGCTTAGAGACAGTGGAAGGAGTTAGAAAGCTTGATCAAACTCTAGCTTATAGATTTTGATTGGTAATCTCATCATCAGGTAGGATATTGAGAACTCACAAGACATTAGCAATACTAAAGAAATAAATAAGCACTGTGAATTCCTGGAAGCTGTTCATCTACTGTATATTTTGTAAGCGCATGTGTTGTGTAGTTGAAAAGTTAAAAAAAACTGGAAAATTATTCCCCGATAATGTAGAGGTTCCAACTCCTATTCTCCTCACTGCTTTTAATATATCTTGCAAGGAACATGGTTCCTGATATATGTAGAATGAAAAGGTTTGGTTTTCTTAATTTATGGGACTTCTTTGTTTTTGAGGAGGATTGCGTGTGAATTTGTTTCATGATGTTTGCAGCTAAAAGAAAGACAAGAGAAGCTTGAATATTGGAAGTTGAGAGAAAAAAAGTTTGAAGAGAAAAAGAAAGAGAAGATGGAGCTTTTGTGTAAAAAAAGCTTCTTGTGGATTGATGAGAATTTGTTGGAGCCAAAGGCATTTGTGGGCTCTGTTTGCCCTTCAATTAGGGAGATGAAAGAGATCAAAAGATAAAGTTTCCCCAGATCTCTTGTTATCAATGTGGAAGAGTATATCTATAAGGGGTTGATTGTGTTCATATAAGGCTTGTTTTAGTTCATACAACAACTACATGAGAGTGTCATTCCACTTCTCTTGCAATGAGTAGGAGTTTAGCCGTCTAATAGAGTGTTGGGCAAGTGAATGTGGAACATGTATTTTTGGCCTTTAAGTGCAACTCAAATCTCTGTGCTAGCGGCTGCATTGTCCAATTACCTGTTCTCAAAGTATTCGATCATCATCTCAGGTAAGTAGCTTTTGAGCATAAGGATGAGGTTGAAATCAATGTGGACTAGATACATGAACTTCACTATTACAGTACCAAAGATCAGATTAATTTTAGACAACAACCAGAATCTCCAGTATTAATTAACTAAGATTAGATGTGCTAGTAGTTTATACTTTTATGGAGCTTGAAAGTCGAAAGCGCCACATAATGCCCACATATGTTACTCTAACCTACTAAAGTCATGATCAAAGACTTAAATTATCAAACATAAGGATGGACTCGGGCTGGGCCGGGTCATAACATGCTTTTTTTTTCAGGATGTTGGACCCGGAACTGGCCCGGGTTGATACCAGGTCCGGGCCAAACCGGCCCGGGCCCGGTTCTATGTAATTTTTTTGGCTTTCTAATTAAGCCCCCTCCCTCACCCCTAACCCCAACCCCCCTCCCCAAACACCCAGCCCTACCCAAGGAAAAGAAAAAAAATTGAAAAAACAAAAAAATTGAACTGGGCCCGGCCTGAACCGCCCGAGCTGGTTCGTGAAAATCATGGCTCGAGCCCGGCCCGCCAGAACCGCCCAAACCGGGCTAAACCCCGAAACTAGCCATCCTGGCCCGGTCTGGTTCGGGCCCGCATAGTAGCGGACCGGTCTGGTTCCGGGCCGGTTCGTCCCGGTTGGGTCCATCCCTAATCAAACATCATTTCGCAATTCATTGGTCAATGCCTCAATACTCTAGTCAAATTCGCTATTTCAATCAGCTAAGTATAATCAGTTAACAGTTGATTGTCAAATAAGCCATATCTTAGTTGTCTATATGGTATATGTTATGGTTTTGTATAATTTTTTATGTTGATGGAGGTTTACAAATTGTGCTAGTGATACTCCCTGGTCCCTCCATTCATTTATACGGTATTTATATTATTCTCTAATTTCTATATGAACTGCAATCATTAGTACTAATGAGCTGTCATCTGACTCCATATGGCTTTTTGCCAAATGTCATATAAATTAAACAATGAATGTAATATTGGCTCCTTTATAGCTATGTTGTAAAAACCGGACCGGGAAGCGACCCTTCCGAATGACTGGGTCGCGGGTCAACCCAGACCCGGCGGGTCAACCCGGTGACTAATTTTGAAGTTTATTCTGGTTTTTAAACAATTTCCGTGAAGCGGGTAATGCGGGTTTGGGCACATTAACGGGCTGATGGGCTACCGGACCGGATTGGGCTCCGGGTGATCGGGTTCCGGGTCGAGACGCCTGGTCTTGTTCGGGTCTTAAAACATAGCTTTATAGCCTTTATTTTCATCTTATTAGTCTTAATGCTTTACTTTTAATTGTTATTAAACATTGTACTTTCAATTTTTTGCGTTGACTTATGAAATAGTATGAATAAATAAGTTTGGAATTATTAGCTGAGTTATTTTGTTGAAGAAAACTATTTCAAATTTTTTCATATTACTGTCCTTAATATTATTAACAAAATATATTTTAAATTTTATCCAATTATCATTTAGATACTACATTCGTCCTGTTGTAAGGTTCTCATAGCATTAATAGCAAAACGGCATGATTATTTAGAAAATAATTAAATAAAGTATTTCGAGTATATTTTAAGAAATAATTTTAATAGATATATATTATAATGTAGTTAGTATTGACATATGTGATATTATAAATGTATTATTTTTAATATTTAATGATTAATTTGTCACTTAACATTGTTAATTGTTTCCAATGGAAAGGGAAAATAGAAACTAATAATTCAACCTTTTAGTGGTCTTCTTACAATAACATTTGGTTTTATGCCTGGTCGCTCAACAAGTGAGACCATTCACCTTCTTCGGCAACTTATGGAGAAGTACATAGATGCTCATAAGGATCTGCATTTGGTGTTCATTGACATAGAAAAGGCATATGATAGGGTACCTCGAGAAGTTCTTTGGTCGGCCTTAACTAGAAAAGGCATATCACGCAAGTATATCAACATCATCATGGATATGTATGAGGATTGTACTACAAGTGTCCGTACTAGTGTAGGGAAGACTGAAGAGTTCCCTATTACTATCGGAGTGCACCAAGGATCGGCTCTGAGCCCTTTCTTATTTGTCATAGTCATGGATGAACTTACGAAGTCAATTCAAGACGATATACCGTTGTGCATGATGTTTGCCGACGATATTGTATTGATTGATGAGACGCAATCAAGTCTTAAAGCAAAGTTGGAAGTATGGCGACAAACATCGGAGAATAAGGGTTTCAAACTAAGTCGGGGCAAGACAGAGTACATGGAGTGCAAGTTTGGTGGAGGTAGAAGCAGTGGTAATAGCGGAATTACTCTGGATGGTAAGGAGATACCGGTTAGTGATATGTTCCGTTACTTGGGCTCCATAATCCAGAAGGACGGTGAGTTAGATGGAGATGTATCCCGTAGAATCAGAACAAGGTGGATGAAGTGGAAGGGTGCGTCAGGATTTCTATGCGATCGAGATATGCCGACTATACTGAAGGGTAATTTTATAAGACAACAATTAGTCCTGCATTACTATATGGCGTAGAGTGTTGGGCGGTGAAACATTGTCACATTCAAAAGATGAGTGTGGCAGAGATGCGCATGTTGCGTTGGATGTGTGGGCATACTAGGAAAGACCGCGTGAGGAATGAAACAATCAGACAAATGGTGGGAGTAGTACCTATTGAAGACAAGATGTGAGAGTCGCGCCTACGGTGGTTTGGTCATGTGCGTAGAAGACCGAGTGATGCACCTGTCAGACGAGTTGAGATGTGTGGAGAAGAGGCAAGGAAGAGAGGAAGAGGAAGACCCAAACAGACGTGGGTTAGGGGAGTTCGAAGTGATATGCTTCTTCTGGGGTTGGATGAGGGCATTACTTTGGAGAGAGCTAAGTGGAGGGCGGATATTCGTGTGGAAGAGGGATCTTGTATCATCTTTTCCCTTCACTTTTTTTTCCTTGTTTTTTATCCTTATATCTCTGTTCAAATAATAAAAGCCATTCTTGATTAGCTTGGTCCTTTTACCGTCAAATTTAAGGACGACTACATTCAGAATGAACGTGTTTGTTTCACGGCCTTTTACATTGTTCCAAAATGTGGAATCTCCCACCTAGGAGCCCCTCACCCCGACCCGACAGGATGGTTGAGAGGTTAGTCACGGTGACTCAGTCAACAGAATGGCAATAGGCCCATACACTCGTGCGCACAAGAGACCCAGCCTTATTTCAGGTTCTGTGACCTCCACCCGGTCGTTGTGGGGATTCGAACCTTGGTCCATTGTTCCAAATCTCCCACCACTCGATCGAGTTACCCGTGCGGCTAAAATTTCACGGCCTTTTACATGTGACACGGTTGTTCAATTTTTTTTATGGTATCAACCCAAAATCAACCGGTGCCAACCGTCCATCAAGATTTCGAGATTCACTTCCAAATTTAAGAGAGTCCCTTTCTTCCCCTTCATCTTATTCTGCAAAACTAAGAGGTATTGTCACACCTAAACTTCTATATTTGATATTGCATAAGTGAAAATGCATAGGGCCTCTGCAAGTACCGGGGACAGAGTCCCACTCTCTATCTGTCAGATTGAGATTATAGTCCAACTTACATCCTCCCAACGTACTGTCCGGTCGGGGTTATCTACTCTCTTTGCTTTAAATTTCATCGAAGATTTTAACAGAGAATGCTCTACTTTTAAAACAGAGAATGCTCTACTTTTAGTGGAAGCTTCAAACAAAATAATAGATGTTTTCTTTTGGACTGTTTTCAGTCCAAGATCAGACCAGATCAGACTTCCGTAGTTATAAAATAAACAGAACCACCAAACATTTACCACACCAATTCAGATCAAAACAGACCAACAAATTTCACTCCAACGGAAAACATCCTTACAGTTCATATGAAAACAATCTGTGCCAACAAGCTAACAGGTTTCTTTGCTCGAGATTCACTGCTATTTAGTTTCTTTGAGTGTTACTCCAATGTAATACCATTCATCAACAGTTTTAGAACTTCAACTAACGTGGGTTTGTTGTTATTTAAAATACAAAACTTCCTTAATGCCTACAAAGTGTTTGCTAAAGAACCTCACAGAATTTCCTGCCAAATTAAACTATTAACATATCTCACATCCTTACTTTGTATTGACAGTCAGTGTGACTGTTGCCAGATATAAAAAATGAACAATTCCAAATTATGAGAATACAATTAAATTAGGTGACTAAAAGATTATAATTAATAACCCTGTAAGAAGCTTACACAAAAACGGAAGGGTATTATTTGAATAGTTCATTGACTTAAAAAAACAAAGGAAATAATAAATTAATGGTTTTTATTATGAAAGAATAAAGTTGAGTGTTTCTCTAAAAAAGACTAAAAATGCTGTTGGGGATAACAAACCCAATAAAAATTCGTAAAAAACAAAAATGGCCGGTTGACCAGGAAGTCTACCTTATTGGTGAAATCGTAAAAAATAAGATTATGTGATTAACTGTTGCAAGAACCAGAATAAAAAATCATTAAGAATCATAAAAAAATCATAAAAAATCATAAAAGGTTGGTCAGGAAGTCTACCTTATTGGTGAAATAAGATTATGTGATTAATTGCTGCAAAAACCAGAATAGAAGATAAAGCTAATTGAGTTTGCTACACACTTGAGTGGATTCTTGGGTTAGTGTACTGAAATTAACTGATATGTTGAACTGTTTTATTGTCCTGTTGTGATGAATTGTTAAACCCTCCACAATCAAAATGGTCTCAACTCTTATATGGTGTTTTATTTCACATTAAAATAAAAAAACTCGTAACTGAAGTAAAACAAAGTGAGACCTAGGAGTACAAGGTTATTTGCATTTTAAACATCAATTTTTATATGCAGGTCTAAATCCTATGTCAAATGTATTGCTTTAGGCATATTTACATTTTCTTAATCACAATGTTATTTGCATTTCAAACTGCAAATCTTGAAATGCAAAAATCTTGATATGCAATTATGTGGCCTGAATCCTACGCCATACATATTGTTTCAGGCACATACATTTGAGTATAATCACATTGTTATTTACATTTTAAACTCCAAACCTTGATATGAGTTATGTATTGGACAGGTTGAACTCCATTTTTATATTCCTTCATAGTAGACAAACATTTCAGGTTTTAGAATTACAAGAGAATATTTTATTTTTGAGATATCATTTATTAGTGGGTAATTATGTAGATACAAAACATTACTAAACATCAAAGTGCTACTTCTTTCTTTAGATTATATTTAGATTAAAATTTGACGGTGTTTGTCGGACGTAAAATCATTCATTTCAAGACAGTCAAATATTCTTGTTGAGGCTAAACTTTATGAAAGATTGAAAAGTATCCAAGTTCCCATCTTTCTATTGAAGCGTTATCATTGGTAGAATATCTGAATGTATGCACTCATGAACATTCCCTACATTCCTTGCTTTTTATCCAAAATAGAATTATAAAAGCAAGTAGCAAGAGGAAGTGTTCCCCAGTTCTTTTCTACTCAAGTTACACAACATATTTTCAAATACAAATATATGTGACTAAGTTTACAGATGACTATGCATATAACAACACATAAGTACATTCTGCTTTATATCTTCACTGGTTTTAGGTGTGCACACTTGTTTTTTTACACACCAAATAATCTCTGCTTCAAGTAGTAAGAATTTTGACTGGGTCATTAGGTCATAATTGTAATGTCTTTGATTTTTTTTAAGTTTAAGTGCAGGTTGTTATAGTAATAATACATATGAAGTATGTGGTGATTAGTCATGGTTTAGCAATTTCACAGAAATATATCGGACAACTTATTTTATTGTAGTTTAGATAATACTTAATTTCCCTATTTTAGCACAAAATAACTACAAAGGTGAAAATATTGCTATAATTTTTACCAAGTGTGTTTTTATTAATGGTTCTATGTATGTTTAACATGAGAAGTTCCTATGCAAATTTCATTGAAAGGGTTATTAATGAAGCAGCGGTCAGTCCATGCAATTTTGGACGCGATTTTCACTATAGGTCATCCGGAAACCGTCTCTCTGTTCTTTAGCACAGGGGTAAGACTGCGTACATTTGACTCCCACTTACCTCACCGTAGGTGGGAGCCTTTGTGGCACTTGGGTAAATGAAAATTTACTATGTTGTAGGCAACAATCCTTTATATTGACAACAAATTTAATATTGTGGAGCATGGGTTCATACCCTATTTCATTGGATGCAATAGATGTAACAAAAAAGTTAACTCAACTGAGGGACTTGGTTTTCAATGTATGGAGTGTGGTTATAAAGACAACATTACTATAAAAAGGTTTGTTTAACTTTATTTTCATCCCTTCACTCCATTGAGTTATATCATTACATTTAAATTTAATTCTGAGATATACTGATCTATTAGGTTTCGGTTGGTAATAGAGATCTCTGATAAGACTGGCATGCTTGTAACCACTCTATCTACCAACGAAGTTCATAAGTTGTTGAGTTTGATCAACTTTGACTCTCATCCTGATTCTGTCGATTATGCTGACTTGAATGAAAAAGTTAAAGACCTCACTTTCACTGTTGCTGTGAAGACTATATTTAAATGATTTCAGGTAAAAACAAAGAAAAACATTTGTGTGCTTTCACTTTCTTCCCCAACAAAACAACCAAATAAGGATGTTGGTAATAACAATGTGGAGCTTTCAACATCAAGAGCAAAGTGAAGGCTAAACATGAAGTTTGAAGCTGCTAACTAATAAAAACAAAAGGAAAAGACACAAGTGTTAACTAAATACATGTTCAGTACAATGCAATGTATAGGTAAATTATTTACATTATAGTTTATCTAATAGACTTATATGTAATCGGTTGTAATAACATAAATACATCGAAGTCTTGCAATATGTAGTAAAGTAGTTAATTCCCTATTCTCAAATGCCGGTAGATTTTGCTAAATAGATTATAAATATGTATTAGTGTGCCTTTTTATTAAACTTCTATATTTTGCATTTCACTTCAAACTATTCATAATACAGGTTATAAATAAGATATAATGAACTGAATATACATTATATACGTCAAATGGTCACCTAGAAAGAATACATATAACCAAAGATAAAATCATATCATTTTTTATACGCACAACAAATTAATACTCAGGTTACTGATAAAGTATGTGAGTGATGTATTTATTAGTTGTTGACTCCTACATTTAGTTTAAAAATATTATACCAATTGCAAGTCAATTACTTGGTTTTTTTCCTTTCCTGCAAATACTTAACTTGTCCTTAGCACCAAAGTGGATGAGAAATATATGCTTTCATTTCATTCTCATGTTACTAAATTATCAACTATATTTTCATTAAACAAATCATTATACAGATCCTTATTAAAAACTTAGATTCATATATCATTTCAATTATTCCAATTTTAACTATAGCTGTTTTTTAATAACACTTATATGACTACATTGGGCACCATTCGGTAGTGCGAACATCGCTAGTATATATATATATATATATATATATATATATATATATGATAGAGTATATCTAGAGAGAAGTGAGAGCTAGAGAGAGAAGTGCAATAATATGCTTCAATAGAATGATTTTGTCACCCCTATAACTACTCCCAAGGGGAGTATTTATAGAGAAAATACGGGCTGGGCTCCCAAGCCTTGGGTTTGGGAGGCTCATTTACAATTGGACCGCTACTGGGCCGAATACAAAGCCACTAATGGGCTGTACAAATGAGTAAGTGTAAAATCTGGTTCTGTGAGGTCTTCGTGGCTGACGAGGGTGTGGCCGACGAGGGCACGGCCGACGAGGGCGCGGCCGACGAGGGCACCCGGGTTCCTTGGACTCAGGACCATATTCTGAGTTGGCACCTTTTCGGCCGACGGGGGGTCCCTTGGCCGACGAGGGCACCACTCAGTGTCTTGTGCTTTCTGTTCTTCTGAGTATGTGGGTCCGGGGGCTCAGACCCATATACTCCATCAGGAGTCCCCCACTCTCTAAGCTGAGACGTAGACGAAGTGAAGGAGAGTAGATTCCCGTGCTTTGGTGCTTTTGGCCGATGCGGGCACCCCAAGCCGTCAGCTGTTGCGGCGTTGGCGCTGTTTCCCTTTTGGTGACCTTGTTCTGTGCTTGGCCGTCACCTGCTCCTCGCTGTGGACGGGGAGGCCGTTGTTTTCTTGGTGTGTTCGTTTGGGGACGATGAGTGTCCTGCTTCGATGGTGGCCGTTGAAGGCGCGTTTTCCCTTTCTTGGACGTTGGTGGTTGAGATTTACATTTGGGCCGATGAGGCTGTTGAGGTTGAACCTTGCTTCGAGGACGATGGTGTCCTTTCCTTTGGGTGGCCGGTAAGGGTGCTTGCGCACTCCTTTTGGCCGTCGCTGACTGGCTTTCGTGTCCCTGGCCGAAGAGCCCATTATGGTTAACTGTTGGCGGGGGACGATGAATGTCCTTGCCTTAGGTGGCCAGTTGGCCGTTGTTGATGACGTTATGTGCCTTTGGCCGACGAGGCGCAGTGTGATACATGGACGATGTGGCCATGCTTTGTGGTTACATTTGTGTTTGCATTTTTCCTTTTGTTTTGTTGAGGCCGATGTAGTCCCCCAGTCCCCCACTGCTTCAGGCCGATGTAGTCCCCCAGTCCCCCAGTCTCCAACAGCTGCCGAAGAAGAGGAGCTTCACGGATTTGCCTTCGTCCATCCATGGATGGAAGAGCAAGTTCGTTTTTGTATCCCTTGGTGAGAACGGCACTGAGTTTCCCTCTCTCGGCCACACCGGGAGGTTCAACCTGCACGACCCACCGAGGAGTTCGATCTTGGACGCTTAGGTGGAGGCGTTCTTGGAAGGGGGGCCGAGGAGCGTGAAAGACTACATCACCGAATATAAGATGACCGCCCTCGGCTTCTTAAGATACTATGTGTATGGTGACAAGGAGGACGATGTCCAACTTTGGCCGAGGATGACCACTACCTTCGAAGAGGCCGACGGCCCGGATTTGGGCATTCCTGCTGAGGCCGATGGTAATACTTTCTTCGGCTTTCTTCCTTTGTTATTTGTTCTTTTGCCTTGCTAATCTGTTCGTTTTCCTTTGTGTAGATTTTGTTATGGATCGCCGTTCAATCATGGCCATAGCCAAGGCCAAGGCGGCCGAGGAGTTGGCTGCAAAGGCGGCCGAGGCGGCCAGACGTGCCGCAGCCGAGGGGGGCGGGGCTACTGCTAGTGCGGCCCCGAAGCCTGCCCAGTCCAAGAAGAAGAGGCCTCCCACTGACGGCCAGAAGAAATTGACCGAGGCTGGCCTGAATGTCACTAAGAAGACGAAGAGGGCACCGTCTCCTTCCCATGCCGATGAGGCCGGCACTCTGACCGTCCCAAATGTGGACGATAGTGGTCCCGTTGTGGATCTTACCGCTGCTCCAAGCGATGCTGCCCAATCGCTCCCTCTTGTCCAGGAGCCACGAACGAAGAGGGCCGGCGAGGAGATTGCCGCTGCCACCTACCAGAAAATGGTGGAATACCCCGTCGGCGGGGGTGTCTTTGACGATGGCGTCCTCGGCCATGATGTGCTGGCCCAGGCCATGCCGGCCAAAGATCGGGCCTACCTCAAGAGGCTCGGGGACGTCAAGGTGTACGAAGGCGGGATGGACCTCATCGTCCAAGTAAGTTCCCTTCCTTTTTATTTGTCGTTTTTTCTCGTCGTCCGGGTGGAATCATTTGCCTGAGTCTTTGTTTGCCTTTTTTGTGCAGGGTGCCTTCATGCTCATGGAGAGCCACAAGAGGCAGCATCGGGAGATTGCTCGTCTGAAGGAGCTTGAGCAGAAGGCTGCCTCGGCCGATGAGGCGGTAGCCTGCTTGGATCGGCTCCGGGAGGATGCCAAGGCCTTGCAAAAGAGGGCCGATGAGGCAGCTGCAGCCAGGGACGATGCCCTGGCCAAACTTGAGGAGAGCCAGAGGGCGCTTGAGGCTGAACGGCGCAAAAATGATGAAGCCGTGAAGGCAAAAACTGAAGTCGAGGCTGCCGCTGTGAAGGCCGCTGATGAGGCCGTTCAGCAGTTCTTGGCCGAGGGGTGGAAGGCCGACGAGCGGCTCCCCTGGTGTTATGAAGTGGTGGCTGCCAAGCTTGAAGATTGGGGAATGAACTCCCCCGCCGGCCAAGAGTACTTTAGCAGGGAGATGGCCGTGTACTACAACATGGGCCAAGAGCGGATGCAGAGGCTCCTGTGTCGGCGGCTATCGCGTGCCCTCAATGCCATGAACTATACCTCCGGGTGGGCGAGGCGGAACCTGAAGCTTCCCAAGCTGATGAAGGATCCGGAGGAGCAGGCCAAGCTTCCTCTTTCGGAGCGGGAGCCCCCAATCGAGAGTTCCGGCCTCGGCGAGCCGGATTATGACGAGTTTGACTTCCTGGATGATGCCACCAGTTCTGCAGCTGCTGTCGACCAGGAGACTGAGGCCGAAGAGGGAACCGAAGATGCCGAAGAGCAAACCCAGGCTGGGCATGGAGGCACCCAAGAGTCTTGATCGGCTACTCCCCGCTCCCTATCTTGTAATTAATTATCTTCTATTTTTGCCCATCTGATGTAATGGCCGAAGCGCCCACCAATGTACATGATTGTTTATGAATGAACCTTTTGCTGTCCTGCTCGGCTTTTGAATGTCTTGTATGTTTATTCCCTTTTGCTATTTCAATTTTGAAATTTGTCTAAGTGTAAAAGTTACAACTTAGGTCACCCGCGAGTGTTTGCTACGTCCGTGAGGTAGCCCATTCAGTCTGGTGGCCTGGTCGGCCTGTCCGGTGTTTCTTCGCTGTTGTAACACTTGGGATTTATTCAAAAATTTTCTAAGTGTTTTAGATCCACTTAGATAGGATTTGTCTTAGTGTCTTTCTTTCCGTCCTGACTGAGGCGGGCAAGCTGAGGTGTCCGCTGCGTCTAGGTAGTGTCCCATTCTTTTTTTTTGTTAGAATTTTCCTAAGTGTCTAACTTCAAGTAGATGAGTGTTCTCATCGTCCTGGTATTGAATCTCTCCTCAGTGTTGACAAATGATTTGGGAAATTTCCTATGTGTTGAACCAATGTCGTTGTTTTCGGCCCAGTGTTTTTCGTGGCCGTCGTGTTCCCTTGTTCCTGATCTGATCAGGAAGGTCGGCCTGGATCCTTCTGTTGTGGCCGATAAGGGTACCTTGAACTTAGTTTTTTTTAACATGAAATTTTTTCTAAGTACACATGCAAGCCACAGGTAGTTAACGGCCTACGAGTATACAGGTGCCCGCCTCGTCTAGAGTTTCTTCATACGAATACTTAGAAATTTTTCTAAGTATAAATGCCAGACAGTTTCTTCTTTGTGGTACCGTTGTCAGCTAAGAGGTGTGTAACACCCCGGGGCCCCACACGGACCCGAGGTAGTTACTCTAGACCTCTAGTACTGTCCCCACAAACCACCACGAGCCTTTACCGCGCACTTTGTCCTCACTCATGCGCGCCCTGAGAAACTTCCCAGGGGGTCACCCATCCCAAGACTACTCCCGTGCAAGCACACTTACCTTTGGAGTTCTTGGGTGATGAGCTCCCTTAAAAGGAGATGCACCTCTGTTTGTATGAGTAGTACTATTAATCCTCTTAAATTAATCTCGGGTATTACAATCACCCCCACTTAGGATCGCAACGTCCTCGTTGCGCCCTTAAACCAATCTCAATAAAACCCCAGAATCTTGCCCCGCTAAGTGCCCGCCCGATATCTAACGGGTCAGCACACTGTCGCAGGGTTGCTCTAATACCACCTGTAACACCCCGGGGCCCCACACGGACCCGAGGTAGTTACTCTAGACCTCTAGTACTGTCCCCACAAACCACCACGAGCCTTTACCGCGCACTTTGTCCTCACTCATGCGCGCCCTGAGAAACTTCCCAGGGGGTCACCCATCCCAAGACTACTCCCGTGCAAGCACACTTAACTTTGGAGTTCTTGGATGATGAGCTCCCTTAAAAGGAGATGCACCTCTGTTTGTATGAGTATTACTATTAATCCTCTTAAATTAATCTCGGGTATTACAAGGTGGCCCTGCCTTCATCGGCCAAGGCCTGGCTTTGTGGCCGATGAGGCTGCCTTTTGCTTTCCCCAAGAGTTTCTCTAAGTGTCGGAATTCTCTTAAGGAACCTTTTCCCTAGAATTTTCTCCAAGTGTCTGGTAAACACTTGGACAAATCCCCAAAGAACTTTCGCTTGACCAACAGCCTGGGTTTCAATGCCTGTATCGGCCATGCGGGATGCTGTGGCCAGTATGGATTGTTCCTTGAATGCTTGATTCTTCCGCGGGTGTGATACTGCCCGCTTCGTCCTGGTCATCCTCAAGATTGTAATTCTTTATTTCATACCAAGTGTTGGTGCTTCAAAGAGCTGTGGCCGATGAAGGTTACCACTGGTTAGGGTTTTGTAGGCATATGCTTCGTCCTTGACGATTCCCTCGTCTGTGATGGTCATGCGGCCATATCGTCCATGTCACCTGTTAGTGGTACTACACTTGTGTTCAACTGATATGTACTTGGCCAAGTTTGGCCTGAGTTGTGGGGATTTTTTTTATTGCTCGAGGCCGGCAAGTGCGCGTGGTCCTCGGCTTCCCTCTTTTTTTCTCCTTTTTTTTGTTCCCTATTTTAGGGGAGTATCATTCTTTCAGGCTTCGGCCGAAGGGTGTGCTCGTCCTTCGGTCGGTTCGGACTTCGTTTATAACGTCCGTGATCTCAGGGCGGGTCCCGTCGCCTATTTATGACGCGGGCTAGACTTTTGGTCGGTTTCCAACGGCTGTCGTTGCCCATCCCTGAGTTTTGGGATTTTGTCACCTCGGCCATGATTTCAGGCCTGTCGTCCTGCGATCTGGCACGTGGACGACGCGGTGAGCTTCCCGTTTCAAGACGTGGGCCGTTTGCGGGCCCCTCGTCCTGGGGACATCGTCGGCCATACCTGAGCGTTTCACTCTAGGTTTACGGGGCCAGGACGATGTGCTCTCTCAGCTAGGCCTGAGCCCTTCGCTGATACAAAATACAATGGAGTACCTGGGCTTGTTGCTTCGCAGGTTGCAAATGCAAGGTGCCATATCGGCCATACCTGAGTCTTTCGCTCTGAGGTGGCCGATGAGGGCACCTGCTAATTTTTAACTTTAAATTCCAGAGAAAAAATCAAGAGGAACATGATTTTATTCATAAATGGCTCGAGGCCGAGGGTGGTGTTCAATCAGTAACCCGTTAAGGGGTGAGGGCTTCGCCGTCTGCACCTCCTTCGGATTACTGATAAAACTTCACCAGATGGTGTACATTCCACGTTCGTGGTACATTGGACCCATTCGGGCGTTTAAGCTTGTAGGTGCCGGGTTTGACCACGGCACCGACGATGTAGGGCCCTTCGTACTTCAATGCTAGCTTGCCACCCTCTGTCGGCTGGCTTGCTTCCCTTTGACGGAGGACGTAGTCCCCCACTTGAAATTCCTGGGAACGTACCTTGGCGTCATAGTATGACTTTACTTGACGCCGGTAGTTCTCTGCTCAGACGTAAGCTTGCTCACGCCTCTCGTCGACCAGATGCATGTCAATCTTCATGTTCTCTTCGTTGGCGTCAGGCTCGTATTGTTCCACCCGCCAGCTGGGGATGGCAACTTCCGTGGGTGCCTTTGCCTCAAAGCCGTAACACAGGGCGAAAGGCGTTTCACCTGTCGCCCTCCTCGGCGTGGTTCTGTAGCACCACAGGATGTTGGGGAGCTCGTCGACCCAACTACCCCCTGCGGCCTGGAGTTTCTTCTTCAGCTCCTCCATGATTGTCCTGTTGGCGTTCTCGACCTGCCCGTTGACCTGAGGGTAGGCAACGGAGGAGAAACGATGCTTCACCCCAAACTCCCGGAGGAGCTCCTGAAAAGGGGCTGCCTCGAATTGGGTGCCGTTGTCTGATATAATCTCCTGGGGGACACCGAAGCGAGTGATGATGTTCTTGTAAACAAATTTTTGGCATCTGGCCCCCGTGATGCTGGCCAGGGGTTCCGCCTCGACCCATTTGGTGAAGTAGTCGACGACGACGATGATGTAGCGGTTGTTCCCGGCGGCTCTGGGCAGGGGGCCGACCAGGTCAATCCCCCATCTAGAGAATGGAATTGCGGTGCTGACGGGGGCGTAGTTGACGGCTGGCCGACCAGGGGCCTTCTGGAGCACCTGGCACGTGGTACACTTCCTGGCCAGGTCCGCACAGTCTCGCGCCATCGTCGGCCAGAAGAAGCCCTGGACGACGAGACGTCGGGACATGCTGAAAGGGTCCTGGTGCGAGGAGCAGACGCCACAATGAACTTCTTCCATGGCCATGTCGGCCTCATCTTGGTGCAGGCATCGGAGGAGAGTGCCATTATAGGATCGTTTGTAGAGTTTGCCATCTTCAATGGTGTAGCTTGGGGCCCTGAGTTTGGCAAGTTTGGCCCTCTCCTCGTCCGGGGGCAGCTCCCCCGTCGTGATGAAGGTGATGATGTCGGAGATCCAGTCCTCAACTCCTCGATCTTGGCTAGCTGGGAGATGTGCTCCGGGGTGTCCGAGCTGAGTTTGGAGAGGATGTCGGCCTCGGCGTTCTCGGCCCTTGGGATCTGTGTGATCTCGTGGGTTTCGTACGCCTTCAGCAGCTCCTCCGCTGCTTGTTTGTATTGCTTCATCCTGCCTTCCTTTGCTTCGTACGTACCCTCCACCTGGCCCACTACCAGTTTGGAGTCGCACCGGACTTTGATGTGTCGGGCTCTGAGGCCGGCGGCGAGTCTGAGGCCGCTGAGGAGGGCCTCATACTCGGCTTCGTTGTTGGATACCCTGAAGTTGAAGCGGATGGCATAGTAAGCTCTGAATCCTTCAGGGAATATGAGGACGACGCCGCCATCGCATGATTTCGCGGCTGACGAGCCGTCAGTGAATAGGATCCATGTATCATTCGGCTCCGGCCCAGGGTTGGCAACGGCCGTCTCCCTTGCTGTGCATTCAGTGACGAAGTCGGCCAAGGCTTGCCCTTTGATAGATGGCCTTGGCTTGATCTCAATTTGAAATTGGCTGAGGAAGATCGCCCATTTCACCATCCTAGAGGAGCTGGTGGGGCTCCTCATGAGTGCCCCGAGAGGCTGCTGGGTCAGCACATGGACGGCATGGGCTTGGAAGTAGTGTCCCAGCTTCTTTACCGTATGGACGATGGCCAGCACCGTCTTCTCAATGGGGGAGTACCTGAGCTCGGCCTCCCTGAGTGTCTTGCTGATGTAGAAGATGGCCTTCTGCACCCCTTCGTCCTCACGGAGGAGCACGGAGCTGATGGCCGACGTGCTCACCCCTAAGTACAGGAAGAGGGTTTCGCCGGCTTTGGGCTTGGAGAGCACGGGCGGGGACGATAGGTACCTCTTCAACTCTTCGAACGCTTCCTGGCACTCCGTCATCCACTTGAAGCTATTAGCTTTACGCATGATCTGAAAGAAAGGGAGTGCTCTCTCGGCTGACCTGGAGAGGAAACGGTTCAGGGCCGCCAGGCGCCCCGTCAGTCGCTTTACTTCCTTGACGTTGCGGGGCGGCTCCATGTTGATGATAGCCTGTGTCTTCTCCGGGTTTATCTTGATGCCTCTCCGGCTGACCATGTAGCCGAGGAACT